CGGCTCCCGGCGGGCTGTGGGCCCGAACCGCGGGGCCCGGCCCGAACCACGGCTGCCGGGGGGCTTTGGGCCCGAACCGCGACTCCCGAGGGGCAGCGGGCGCCGGGCCCGACCCGCGGCTGCCGTTGTTCCCGCCGGCAGTTGCCGAGGCAGCACCGAGGACGCGCCGGGCCGGTGAGTGCGGGGGAGCTGCTCCTCCTGCGGGCTGGAGCTGCTCAGGGGAATGTGGCGCTGGGCTGTGCCCGGCCGGGCAGCCGGCCTGCGGCGTCGCTCCCGAAGAGGTGGCGTCAGACCCGCGGGGCTCCTCGCTGGCATCTCGGTGAAAAGACCGAGTGCCTCACGGCTTTAATCAAAATAGCCCCGAGAGGCTGCCTTGGTTGCAGCTTTGTACGTAGAAAGGCCGCTGGGCTCAAGCGGGAGTTGTGTTCCTGTGCCCGAGGAAGGTCCCTGCCCAGACTGGGACCAGTGCTCGGATCCAGCCTAAAACCAGTGCTCAGACCCTGCCCAGACTGGGACCAGTGCTGAGATCCAGCCTAAAACCAGTGCTCAGACCCTGCCCAGACTGGGACTAGTGCTCAGATCCAGCCTAAAACCAATGCTCAGACCCTGCCCAGACTGGGACCACTCCTCACGAGGCGAACACTGCCTTCCCTCCCTGCTCCTTCCAGTCGTGTCTTTGTCAGAACTGGCGGAGCTGAACAAAAGTTTGGAAGGCACTTGTAAAATATATTAAAGGCAAGACAAGGTTGTTTTGATTTTTCTGTGTTGTAGTAGGACTTACAGGTCTGAGAGGTGTTTCTCCCCTCAGTCTACAGCAGAATGTTGTGATCTTGTTTCCTAGTATCTTCTCTCTTTTTTTCCCATCCACCTCCCAAAACTCACAACACTACAGCAGATAATGTTTGAAAGATGATATGTGAAAGTTTATATGTGTGAATACTCCTTCCAAGTAATAAATGAGATCATGTGAAAGTTTGTATGTGTGAATACTCCTTCCAAGTAATAAATGAGATTATTTTAGATGACAAGCCAAATAGAGTAAATGTTTATCTTTGAAGGAGTCAATAGAGAGAGAATGTAGGCTGGAAATACTTTGTGATAGGCCAAGGTAGACAGGTGGTTTCTCCTCCTTTTTTTTCCTTTTCTTTTTTTCTTCTTCCTTCTGTCAGAGAAGTGGGACAGGATTTTGTGAGAAAAGCATCATCTTAGCCGTGTCCGAGACTCAGGAAATTCTAAATCCATATTGAAACAATTAAATGTCACATTTTTTAAGATTTCATTAGAAACTGTCGTAAGCAGTTTTTTGTCAGATGCTGGTGGTGATAGAACCAGTTTTTTAAGTAGTGCAGTATATAAGAAAGGTAAGGTTTCTTTAACTTCAGTAACTACATGTAAAATTCTTACTTATACCTGATTAAAGTTCTTATAGCTTAATCCTAGAGATATGAAATTTTTCCCTCTCTTCATATATGAAGTTCTTTTCTCTAATTTTTGATTAACAAGTGCTGAAGTGACTGTAAGGTAATCTTTCTTGGAAATAAAACCTGGTTTAAGTTTTTAAGGTTCAGCATGACGTGAACCTGGCAAGATATAAATACAAATTTATCTCTCTTGCTTTATTATGCTTTCTCTTATTTGAGGTACAAGCATATGTTGTTTTGGCTTTGTTTTTAAATGAATGGATTTCTTTGATACTGAAGAGAACAGCCACAGCAAAGTTTCTTAAACAAGTAGGAAATAGTGAAAACTATGTTTGCCTGTGCCTGTTATTGTGCTGGTGTTTTTGAATATAGATCAGTTCAGGCATTTCAATGGTCATGACAAGGAAGCATTTGTTCCACAGTAAAGAAAAATGGGTTCAGGTTTTTATGAACAGTTAAAGCTGGAAATAATACTAAATTTTAGTGAAAAGAATTGAAAGCAAGACTGACTTGTTGGAAACTAAACTTCCATTAATAACCTTTTTGTTCCTTTTGGACAGAGCCCTAAGGACACTTGTTTATGACAGAAGAAAGGCATTGCTCTAGCAGCAGTTTTGACTATGATAAAATTAACAGATATTTCATGGAATGTCTGTGTAGCTTCTGTCCACTGGTGCAGGTCTTTAGTAACATCACTGTTAATTTCCCAATATGTTCCTAGATATTTTTCAATTCCCCAAGGGTTTGTATCACCTCAAGAGTGTAACAATAGTGGGGGGAAAAGGCTGTCCAAAGGACTTTATGTTTCTCCTTATCTTGCTGTTTCAGCATTACTTGAATCTCTGGCCAGCAACTAATTTTCTGCACTGGAAGACAAGAAGGAAACAGCAGTTGTTAACAAGTATCTTCATATATTACTCTGAAACAAATATAGTACTTCCTCACATTAATACTTTCTTAATCTCACTTTGTCATGTGACTAAACTTTCTGCTGCCTCAAGAAAGAAATGTCTTGGTATTTATGAGAATCGTTCATAGGAGTGTCTCTATCTTAAAAAGTAGTTTCTCTAATGACAATGATTGCAAGAAGATTAAGAGAATGGCAGGCATGGAAATGACTCCATAACCCCCAGTACCTTGGTTTCAGAGTCCCACTGAAAATGTGGAAGATGGCATTAGTTACCCCCAGTTGATGCCTCAAGCTTTGACCTGTCTTAAAATGAATAAATAGTTAAAAAAACCCTCCAAACCCCAAACAAAAAACCAAAAGAAATCTCCACAGGTTCTCCTCCCCCATCTATTTGGAAATGTGGCCTTAGCCCAAAGATTTCTGAAGACAACAATTATAATTCTGCATTTACAACTGGAGCTATTGTGTAACAAAAAAGCTGTGTTTTGTACATGGATTAAAGCTAGCATAACGTGAAACTTCAAAGTTTAGATTGTCCTCTGAGCAATCCAGTTGAGATAGAAGCATTTATAGTAATGTAGGAGTTTGTTATTTCAGTGAATCTGTCATTACTTTTGTCATTGTTTTATAGGATGTATTGTAGTTCATTCTGGTCTCACAGTTTAAATTGCAGATGGAGAATTATGTCATTTGAATTTTGTTCCTGGTAGATAAGCCATGCCTGTCTCAGCTGATGAAACTGGGGGGGACCCAGCTATGGGAGATACAGGTCAAACTCCAGCTGGAACTGAAGGACTACAAGGTTTGTACCAGATGCTACTTATTGCAGTTACAGACTTGGATCAGTGGCTTCTTTAGTGTCTTTCTAAAAGTGTTTTTGATGTTCCCACTCGCAAAATGAAGTTCAAATACCATTCGAAATCTCAGTTAAATTCTGAAAGGTGCTGTGACCTATTCTGTGTTATAAGAGAGGAGCTGCTGTGAGATGCTAAAACCTGGAAAACTCATTGAGCTACAACATTCATCCTTCCAAAAGGAAAGAGAACTTTTTTGCTGAATTAAGGTCAAGGCCAGATCTATTTAAAAAAATTGGAACCGAAAGTACCACGCAATTCTTATGTGTTACTCAGCTGCTGTTAGAATAGAACTACTGGACTTATTTTCAGAATTATGAGTTAATCCTTTCAAACTTCAAGAGACTGTGTTGACTTTGAAACAGATTTGAAAGCATCTTCATTGTAATGCTAATTTTATTTTTAAAGTAGTATGTTTGATTGTACTTGGTTGCTTGCTAAATTGTTACCTTTGCATTGTCTTGTAGAAAATTTTTAAAAATTTTTTGGTTTGGGTTTTTGGGGTTTTTTTTGTTTAGTTTGCTGCATCATTTGAACTCTTTTTTTTTCTAGTCTTTAAGAGGAAGGAAAAAGGAAGTGATTAACATGCCAATAAATCTGAAAAAATTATCAGACCGACGGAAGTGTAAAATATCGAATTACTTGAAAATTTTCATTAATTTTTTTTTCAGTATTTCAAAGTGAGATAGGCTTTGAATTACGTGTTGTTGAATGTATTGAGGGTAATTTAAAGTTGCCTTGTTTTGGGGTAGAATCATCAACTGCCCAGAATGTGAAAGCTCGACAAGCTGTGTCACGGATCAGTCGAGAGGAACTGGAAGACAGATTTCTTCGGATAAGCGACGACCACATCCTACTCAAGCAGCATGCAAACAAGCAGGAGGAAAAAATTAAAAGGTAGGGGGTTTGGTAGTTTTATTTTAAACTTTTTTTGCCCCTCAAAACATTATCAACGTATTAAAAGTCATGCTGATTTCTCTCAGGGCACTTTCTAATGCCACAGTAAAAGTCACGCGTTGGAATCCATTTCTGTCTTGATTTCTGGTTGTCTCTGAGTATGTGAGATGCTTTTTGCAGTGGAGCCTGTTAGATCTCCATGTACAGAGGTACAGTGCTACCTACTACTTTAGGGTTGGCACTTTGGGTTCCCAGCTCTGCTGGCAAAGCACAAATATAACAGGTGTTCTGGGAATTGAAGAAGAGGCTATAGAAACCTAATGATTTATCAAGAGTTTTATTCCAGAATCAAAATGACCTATACAGAGAGATTCTGCTCCTTTTTTTGTCCCTGTGTGTTTTTTGAAGAAGCTGACTAGCATCTGGCCTTTTATCATTGAGTGAGCACCAAAATGGCAGAACATGGGTAGAGCCCTTCCCAAATCTTCGTTCGCGAAGCCTGGCCATGAATGAATGGAATGAATGAATGAATGAGCACCAAAATATTTTATAATCAGCTCTCCTTTATTCAGCATAATAGATAACTCCAATGAAAAAGCCCCAGGTAGCATGGGGAGCACAGTACCCAGTGTGCCCAAACATACACGAGCAACTTTAGGCTGATTATTGAACTTAGTGTGTTAAGATTTGTGTTCTAATCTTTGCCAGCACTTACTGTGCTGGCAAACGGATCTGGACTCTGCACAACTGTTTGTGGTATTACTGTGTCACAGGAGGGCTGATCACTCCCAAAAACCCACTTTTCCTGTGTGTTCCCATTGTGCTAATTGCTAATCAAGTCTTGCTGCATGTGATCAGACTTCTCACCAGAAGCCAACAAATTCATCAGAGGGCAGCTGAAATTATTGCCTCTGTACATGAGACTGTTTCATACTTTGTTAAAGTCCAAAATATTCTTCCCTTTTGGCTCAGTATTCAGTGAGCCAGGATCCAGTAGACCAGCATGACATAATTTCCATCTTTTCTGTTAGACTGTTGTCAGATAGAAGATGATAGAGCAAATTAATTGTTTCCTTAATTCAAATGGCTGTTCCTCTGTTTCTGTGCACAGCAACATGGGACATACCACTCCATATCCACTTAGGTGGATGCAGTCATCATCCACTTAGGTAAAATTACACATAATGTCCAAATTGGTATCCCAAGGCACAGAAAATAAAAAATACAGAGTGTTTGTCTAGATTGTCAGAGAAAAATCTAAAGCTAAATCTAAAGCTAAATTTCTTCCCTAGCGTCCCTCGTGCCAAAACCCTTGTAACTAGAAGTTTGGAATGAATTTCTAGTAGAATTACATTGAAAAAAACCCCAAATAAACAAAAAACCTGCTTACAGGCAAGTAACATTCTGTGACATCCTAAAGTTATTACGGATGTTTTTGGTTTCACTTTTGTTCTTTCAAGAAGAAGCTTCTGTGCACAAGTATCCAAAAATCTAACAAGCCCCTTTAGACAAATTAAGTGTGTCCTTATTTTCACTTTTTTTTCTGGGCTTTCAAAAATAGATTCCCTATAAACTAGATACAGGTCTGGATGATAAATGGCCAATTTTGTAAAGTCTTGAACTTGTCTGTCTCATCAAAGCCACCTTTCTCCTTTTGTCCTTTTAAAGATAGATGGGAACCATACCCTCTGTATCTGGTTATATTCTTCAGCTAACTGTTCCTTCTCTGAAGCACATTGGTCATATTTACCCAGAATAAAATTGAGTATGGTAATGACAACTATTAAGTCTCTTTTTACAGAGTACCTTCTTAAATATCTGCACTTAAAACATTTAAGCACTTTAGATATGAAATATATAATTAAATCCTAAAATACTGGAAATTATGTATCACTGGAATGTTGCATATTATTATCATTCTTTCGATAGTTGAATATTTTGTGGAACTGTAGCTTTAATAGTTTGCCTCATAACATCCAAAGTCTGTAACTTTACTTAACAGCATGCAGAGGTTCTAATAGAAGATCATGTGTTAAAATTAAGCAGCCTGTGGAGCAAATATGCTTCCTTCCTTTACTAACCTTAAATTAGAAGCTTTACGAAACTGTTATTTGTCAGTTATAGTGGGTTGACCTTTGCCTGATGCCGGGTGCCCACCAAGCCACTCTGTCACTCCCCAGCCAGACAGAGGAGAGAGAATAAGATGGAAAACAACTTGTGGGTTGAGATCAGGCACTTTACTAAAGCAAAAGCCAAAGTTTGTGCACCCACAAGCAAAGAGGAAAATAACAAGGTTTATTCTCTACTTCCCATCAGCAGCGATGTCCGGCCACTTCCCGGGAAGCAGGAATTCAACATGCAGAGCAGTTGCTCCAGAAGGCAAACATTGTAAAAAACAAATGCCCCCACTTCCTCCTCCTTTCCTTAGCTTTTATATCTGAGCTGCTGTTCCGTGGTCTGGAATATCCCTTTGGTCAGTTTGGGTCAGCTGGCCTGGTTGTGTGCCCTCGATTGGTGGGGGAGCAATGTTACAGTGCTGATGCTGTGCCAGCCCTGCTCAGTAGGGGCCAAAACACTGGTGTGTTATCAACACCTTTCTAACTCCCAAAGCAAAGCACAGCACTGTGAGGGCTGCTCTGGGGAAATGAACCCCAGCTCAGCCACCAATACAGCTATAAAGTGTCACCAGACGTGGTGCCCACGGTGGTGACAGGGTGTAGGAGTGGTAAGTTGCATAGAAAATAGTTATTTAAAGGATTTGAACAATCAGAAGTTGTTTACACTGTTTAAAAAATTGTTATTATTAATCCAACAGAGGAAACATCCTTTCTATATCACTCACATTAGATCACATACATGCCTCCCAGGCCCACTTACAGAAGGGAACGCTGTGGCAGATAAAGCAGCAATAAAGCACATTGCTGCACAGTGGTTTCAGTTATCTTCAAAGAGTTCTTCACAGGCAGTAATAGTTATATCAAAACCTGGCTTTATTATTCTGTGATGAAGTCTTCACAGTGATTACGTTTCTTTCAACAGAATGCTTTTTATGCTGAGTTTTCACATTCTTTTTCATGTTTTTTGATGTTTTTCCCCAGAATGACCACCAAATTAATGCGGCTTGTTAATGATAAAAGAAAATCTGATCAGGTTGGTGGTGGGCCCAGGCGGCTGGGTCAGGCTCTGGAGCTGGAGGAGACGATTGAGCATTTGCAAGAAAGAGTTCGTGAGCTCGAGAAACAAAACGAGAACCTGCGCAACAAACTCATTTCAACCAAACAGCAGCTGCAGATCCAAGGCCACAGGCCTTGTCCCTACGGCCACGTTCAATCTCGTGTCAACACCGGGCTCAAAAAAGGGAATGAGGCTTCTGGCACCCCAGAGCACGCAAAGAAAGGTATCATTCACATTCAGCAAAAACAGGGAGCCCTCAGATTGCTCTGGGAAACCCTGAGTCTGAATCTCAACACATCTTCAGGGCAGATCAGAAAATCCGCGGAGCAATTATCCAAAAATAAAAACGCCCGGGAAAATTCGGGAAAGTTTGGCTCTGTAAGGTGTGAGGAGACAGGGAAACTCTACAAATAAATAAATATAGAATCATAGAATCATAGAATAGGTTGGGTTGGAAAAGACCTCCAAGATCATCAAGTCCAACCCCTGATCCAACTCCAATTACTATATCATGGCACTAAGGGCCACGTCCAATCTCTTTTTAAAAACCTCCAGGGATGGTGAATCCACCACCTCTCTGGGTATCTATATCTGCTTTGTGTTTGGCTGATTTAAAAATACCAAGGAAAGCTCATCTGAAAGTCCTAGTCAGGTATGAATTTTCAGTAAATACTCTCTGGTTTCTCATTACTTTCTTTGTTGAGTGTAAGAAATGCCTTGATTTGAACAAAAGTAAATAAAAATATCTGTAGTCTAGGCATATATACACGCACATATATATGTATATCACAATTACCAGTACCTTAAAATAATCCTTTCTTTATTGAGTGCAAGAAATGCCTTGATTTGAACAACAGTAAATAAAAATATATATAGTCTAGGCATATATACACGCACATATATATGTATATCACAATTACCAATACCTTAAAATAATACTTAGAGACCAAAATTCAAATTAGATCAAGTTAACACAAATGCAAAGTAGGTCATTTTTTTCAGGTGTTTGGGGAACTGATGGTCTCATTGTACATTGAACCTAAATAACTCCATTTTGGGGACTGAGGGATGGCAGCCTTAATGCTGTGTTTGAAATGTAATGCATATTTTGGTCCCACCTCAAAACTTTATTTCTTCTTGCTGAAAAAAAAGAAGTAGAAAAATTTGTAGAAACCATTGCTTTTGCAATTCTTCCTTAGGTAATTTCTGACTTTTCTTCTTCACTAGGGGCTTAGGATGCTTCTAAAGAACAGAAGAAAATTATTTGCACTGCTGCTAAAAATGGCCCTTTAGTTGCCTGTCTGGGTGAATGACTCTTGTGATTTTGCAAAGAAAATGCTGACAAAAAACGATTACAATTCCATGTTCCTGCTTAATAATATTGATATTGTTCTTCTGAGAAGACACCATCTCTGCTTTCTGACTTTGAAAGTAAAAATCTTCTAAAAAGCCCTCTCAGGACATGTTTTTAGCACTTAACACTATGCTGTATCACCCAGAGTTCAAATTTTACAGCAGCTGTGTTGTAGATACTCTGTTTCTTTTCATGTGAATTTGAGGTAAAAATACTTTTTATGACATCTAAAACAGAAGTTGCAAGTTGCTGGTTTGTTAAATGCTTTTTCATGCAACGTGACAAAAATTTATCTTTTCTTTGTTTTCAGGAATGAGACTTCAGAATCTAGAAGTGAGATCATCTGACCTCGTGCTCCCAAAATATGGACAGAGTCTGCTTGAGGATTCAAGGGCTGAAATAAGAAATTTGTATGATTTTCATATTACTTATTTTTTGTCACTATTATTCTTAAAACTTAGGGTTTTCTTGAAGAGGAAAAAAATACATCTTTTCAGAAGTTTTCGCTTCAGAAAATAAACTGAAATAATCAGAAAATAAACAGAAATAAACAGAAATAAACTGGATCTGATAACAATAACAAGGCAGAAATGTTTTCTGCTAAGGAACACGGAGGGTCAGGGGTTTACAATGCAAAATGAAAGGCATAGTATGGGATAGTTATGTAAAATGATTTTGGTTCACTTTTGCATTTTGAAAGTTGGTTTGTAATCCAACTGCACCTTTTAACTGAAAATAAACCCTTATAACATCCCTGATACAGGGTTTACATGAGTAGATAGGTGTTATATAGGCTGGACAAAAGGTAGTTAACATCTAATTTAAAGATACTGGGGTCTGATTAGAACATTTTTCTTCTCTAAAGTATATGTTTTGAAATCTGGTTTTCCAAAAGCTATTTTAGTATGTTTCTTTATTTCCATAATGATTTAGCTAAATTGGATTTAAGACATAATTTGTAAATGCTATATTTTCAATAAATGGGCAAGCTAAGTATAGAAATATATGAATTAATGTGCAGTCATATTTTGTGCTTGGAGTTGTGTAAACACAAAGATTTACTGGGATCATAGGAAATCATTGTACAGAAACGTTTTCATAAATTATTTTTTAAATTGCATTTACTGCATAAATTCCACTGTTTAAGACACATCTTTTGATTTTTTTTTTGGTGTAAATTTACCTATCTCAGAATAAAAGCTTAAAAATTACTTTAACTGCTCCATCCATTGAAGATCTCATAATCTTTTGATAGCTAGTCATGGTGGTTTGCTTTTCAGAAAACACTTGGTACTAACAGATTAGAAGGAAGATAATTCTGATATAGAGTATAAGACACCATGGACAGTGTTTTCAGCCAGGTTCTGCTAAACATTGTTCAGTCCACATAAACATTTATTTTGAGAGTTTGCGTTGTATTTTCATAGTAATTTAAACTCTTAAGCCTCTGCTGTGATGCGTGTGATTAAGAAATAAAAATTTTGCCCAACATTAAAAATTTTAACTCTCTTGAGTACTCATTTAAATTTTTTTCTTTTCCTAAATACTTACCTGGTTTTGGAATGTAAGATGTTTGTACTTGCAGGGAGACCGTGATTGACTCCCAAAGGAAACACATAGAGGAACTAGAACATGCCAGAGAGATTCTTGTGAGTCAACTGAGGAGGAAAGAAAAGGAGATTGAAGACTCTCTCCAACGGCTGAAAGAGCAAGGCACAGCAAGCCAAAGGTGTTGTGAAAACTGGGAAGTTCCATGATGGAAGCATTAGAAGAGCTGTGTCATAATGTTTATACAGAGCTGTGGAAATTACTACTAAATTACTATAAAGGAATATGTGCTTTATCCATTTTTTCCCTTTAGTGAAACTAAGTCGCCCAATAGCCATGGATACTTCTAAGCAAGGAGATAGTTACAATGAGAAGTTATAATTTTTTTTCATAAATAAACAAGTTCATAATTACCATGTTAGAGAATTCATTTCCAGCTGATACAGATTCAATTGAAGTTCAAGTCATAAAATTTTAATCACCCATTGTTCCTTCACTATTAATTCTTATAAAATTTTAGGTGTAGGCTCATATGGGCAATTTAATGTTCACTAATACTCATTAAGAATTTGGAGTCTACAAATAGTAGAAAAATATTGGCCCTACTGTTGCTGAAACCATTGGGATAAATCAAACTCTCCAACACTATTTTTTAGGATTAGAAAGTGGCATTACTTTATTCACAGTGCTGAGTGCAGGGGGTCTCTCCAACTACAGGCACACACACATTCAAAACTTTATCAGTATTTATACATTTTTAGCAAACAAAGAAATTAACCTTCATTGGTTATAGATGATATTATTCTCTTCACTAATTAGTGTTATGTCTTCTAATAGTTATTGGTTTCTCGCTTCTCATGCTAATTAGTCCACATTTTCATCCTTTTTATTATCTTTTTCCCAACTACTGTCTTTGTTAGTTTCTTCTTTATCTTCTGGTTTCTTCAGAGGGCTATAAGTTGTGCATTCTTTGTGTCCAATTTTCAGCAATACTTCTCTCCCCCAGGGTTTGTTCACTGAAGCATCTGAGGGTTGGTTTAGCAAAACTTAAAGTTTCAGTGATTTTTCTGAAGCTGTTCTAACAATAGCAGTCTGTGGAAAAAAAAAAACCTTTGTTATGTGCTGGCTAAAGTGAAAAATGACACTGCTTATATTTAATACACTGCTTATGATTAATAAAAACAAATAATTAAGAAGTTAATTATTATTTATTAATCTTAGAATTGTAAGAACAGGGATATTAAGTGATTTTCATGTAGTTAAGACCTACACCTACAGGTTGTTTGAATACCAGCCTTAAGGTGTTCTAGTATAAATTGCTAAGGTGTGTTTTCTTAAGGGTGTTTGATAGGTGGAAACTGTGAATGCAAAATGGTGTTCTACTGGCACCAAATACTTTGGATGGTGGGAAAGAAGTGAATGGAAAACAAATAATCTCTTTAGGTGTGGGATTGTTTTCTCTTCCTGTCATATACAGTTCTATACAATAAGCAAAGATGTAGATGTATTGACTGAAGTTGCTGTGTCATCATTGGGTAGAATGTTTATTTCCCTAAATTCTGTAGTATGGTTTATAGAAGGAGAAATTAATTTGGGTATTACACACTAAATCTTCTTCCATATGTGTTCTCATGATGCATTTCTTTTTAATTTTGAAGGCTAAACATTCAGGACAATGTAGAAATGATCAAGGTCCGTAAACAGCTGGTTGAGAAAAGCAATGCTCTTTCAGCTATGGAAGGAAAATTTCTCCAGCTTCAAGAGGTATTTGCAATTTGATCAGTAACATTCCTATACTCTTGTCACATTAATTTGCTAAATGGAAAAACAGATTATACACAATTCTTGGCAATAGTGAGTACATGAAAGCGAACCACATCTTACATTGCACTCAAGCTACTCCAAATGAAGTAGAGATTTTTAGTCTTAATTTCTCTTTTTCAGAAGGGTCTAGCAGGTCTTAGTGATTTTATCTGCAAAGTCATCTCAAGCAGATTATGAAGAGTGACCTGGGTTGCCATTAGAGATTCCTGATCATTTAAAGAGAGAACTTTGACTTAAATGTACTGATTTACCAAAAAGAGGTACCAGACCCCTCTCACTTTATCAGTCTTTGATAAAGTTGGGGAGGTTTGGCTCTTTTGTTCTCACGTTAGGATTTAGCTTCCGTTCATATGTTCCTGGAAATTATTTTAAAGTGGAAAATTGTGGGATAGCCTAAAACAATACAAAAGACTCTTGGAACGAGATTTGTGCTTTGCTTCCCTTGCTTTGGGAAGGCTTTGGCTGGCTGAAAGTTTCTGATATTGTGTTGTTGTTTGTTCTGTTTTGTTCTTTATATTCTTAGTAAAGAACTGTTATGCCTTTTTTCTGCATTTTTTGCCTGAACTCCTCTTAATTTCAAATTTATAATAATTTGGAGGGAGGGATCTTCTTTCTGTTCCAGGAATGTTCCCCTCTTCCTTGGCAAACATTATCTTTAAGACAGAAAGGAAGAAATATGGAGAGATATGAGAAGAGTGTAAAAACATGGCTTTTAGGGTGTCATTTTTTAAGTTATTTAAATACAGTTCACAGATACAGAACAGAGCAAGAGGAGCCCTGAGGGAAGACTTCAAAAGTTATGAGTAATAATTTATGAGTAAAAATTTATGAGTAACTTCATTAACTCTCTGAAATAAGATTGACTGCTAATATTATTTATTCTCTATGACATTTTTCTTACTGAGAAATGAGATATAAAAGGCTGAAGGTGAAGTTAGTGATTGCTTTTTCGTGGTTTTCTTTTTCTTTTCCAGTCTATTCAGGCTGCATATGAACATAAATAATTTGTACAGGATTCACACTCAGCTTCTCTGTTTAACTACTTTGTAGGAATATATATGGAAAAAATGCAGTTCACTTCTTTCTGTCTACAATCATTAATCATTAGGCTGTACTCACATATGTATTTGGCATAAATTCTCAGTCTTGTTATTAATCAGCAGGTTAGCCTTTGGACTGTTTTGTCTCAAGTCATAATTTGAATGTGATTTACACTGACATTTTTAATGAATGAGGATTTATTAAAGGATTGTGGAATGTAGGCAGTATAATATTACCTAATATTCTGCAAATAGAGGCTCTATCAGCATTAAAATTGGTTAAATATGCCTTAGTATAATCCATTGAGGTAAACAAAAATGTAAAGGAAATTAGAAGTCCCTTGTTAAAGTACTGCTGGGAGGGGAACAGAACTGAGTGCATTAGGGTTATGAAACAGTTATATATGTACTGGTGTGTGTATATTTATATATATGCAAGGATTGATATATATATAAATATAAGGGTTAAGAGAGCTGTGGCGAGCTTTGTGATTAACATAGCTGTGGTCAACATTAGTTTTTGTTTGCTACTGCAGTGTTCTTTGGTCAGCATGTCCAACCAATTCAGCAAAACCTTCAAATTGTTTAACAGATGTATTTCTTGGTCATTTTTGTCTTGACTGAACTGAGAGTTTAATGTTCATGAGAGCAACAAGAACAGCACCATGTCCTGACCATGAGTGATAAAAGTGGCTTTCAGTTCCTTTCAGGAATGTCTCCTGCTGACCACATTTAGAACATGTGATCAATACTGCCCCCATTGGAATATGGGAATATGGGAACATTCTACTAGGTGTGATTTATTTTTATCCTGTATATTCCTTCCTTCCTTCCTTCCTTCTCATAGAACCTAAAGAATTTGAGGACCAACCACGACGCTTTATTAGCAAAAGGTGATGAACTGAATGCACAGCTTAAAGAGGAAAGGTTAAAGTGCTTCCATCTTCAAAAAGAATTGCAATCAGTAACTATTTCAAACAGGAGGACAGAAGAGGTGAGACTGTGTTCAAGAGAGCTCAAATCTGCTTTAGGTAGTACATATAGATAATGGAAAAGTTAATGATGGGATACTTTTTAATTTCAGAAATGTGAATAGACCATTCAAGCACATTTAGAAGATTGACCTCAAAATATATATACTTGTATCCCATTAAAAAGAAAAAACAGTGGCTGCTGCTTGCATGTTATAGAATTGTGAACAACACCTGATCCCTGTGTCACATAATCACTGCATCTAGACAGTATTTGAGGTTAAACCATAGGATTTTGTGTCAATTCTGATACTGAGCAAGTGTGTTGTTAACTGAAAAAAAGTCATACTTGATCTATTGAAAATGTATTGCTACTTTATTAGTATTCTTTCAACCTGATTTAATTAGAATAGTAATTAAATGTAGTATTACATCTGATTTAGCAGTTCAAATCAGTCACTTCTATCACTTTGTCTAGAGGCTCTCAGAAAGTATTGTCATCACTAACAGTCATCCAGATTTAGGGCTGAAAATCAAGTGGTTTATTCCTCATTCTCTTCAAAATATGAAGAGTAAGAGTCTACAAGCTTACTTGTTTTTTCTTACATTTTGTGGCAACTTAAATTCAGTTTCACATATTTTAAATGTATTTTACATGAACCAAGTTTTCCAACATTATCTTATAGATATTTCCTCCAAACCTTTAAACTATTGTAATGCATATTGGTATCTTCCTGGTTCAGGTGCCTCACAGCTTTAAAATCATATCCTGCTTTAGTGAGTATTTTGAAAGCAAGGATGTGTTGTTTCTATAATGGCAGTAAAAAATATTAATTATACAAAAGTCATACAGTAGCTAATACTAATAGTCACAAAAATGGAAATTTAAAAAAGTAATGCCATAGATTTTTATATTATTTTACATGAGAGAGAATACGATTAGATACTGTTCCACTGCAACAGTCTCAGCTTCACATAAACAACATGATAAAGACTGTTTGGGCCAAATGTGAATCCATGTGGTGTTATTTTGAAGCTTCTGAGAGACTGATGTGGCCCCTGAGGTTGGCTCCGTTGGATATAGAACAGTGCTAATACCCCCAGGGTGGTGGGTTTGATGCTCCAATGAGCCCTTCACTTCAAGAGTTGGACTTGATGGTCCTTGTGGGGCCCTTCCAGCTCAGAATATTCTGTGATTCTGATTCTGTGGAAAAAGAACAAATAATAGCCTGACAATGCATACAAATTATTAACTATTTGTCTTCACACGTTCATTGTAATTCCCTTTTGTGCTGAAATGATCCTTCTTCATTTTAGTTACAGGAAAGAATAAATTATCTAGAAAAAGAGAATGAACTCTTGAAGGAAAACTATGATAAGCTGCATAATAGGTAAGTTATGGGTTTTGTATATAAAAAACTAGATTCCTGTCCTGTTGAATAGGTCTTCATACACTGTGCTGGAATGTGCATCTGCATGTTGAGTGTGCACACGTGTAAATATGTTCATGCTCCAGTTTGTCATCTCAGTAAGTGTCTTTGGAACCTTCTGTGGTGCTCTGTCTGTATTTCATCTGTGCTGTTTAACATGGACCAACTTTTTCTAATACTCTTGAAGTAGTAGGTTGCTACTTGGAAAAAATGTAATTAAAAATAAGCGAGACTCGCTTTATTTTGAACATAAATGCAAGAAGTTCTTTATTATTTCTAATAATTTTCTTTAGGGTTATTATTGAAAGAATACATCTAGGTAGGCATATATTCCATTAGGGTTGTTTTGGCTTTTGGGATTGTTTGTTTTTAATTTTGGTTTGTTGTTTTTTTTTTTAACAAAGGGATGTTTGAACATTTTGTATGTTCTTCCAGCACTTCTCAGTGAACATACATGAAGTCTGATGTTTGACAGCTTCTCCAATGTTTATTTTTGAGAGGTGGTTAGTTTGTTTTGGTAATAGCTACCATTTCACTGCTATTGGTAAAGAAAAGAAGTCATTCTAGTCCATTGCCACAAACATATTAAAATGATCTTCAAATAAACTTTTACTGTAAAACTATGTGATTTTTTTACACTTAAAGAGGTTTAGAAAATAAGACACGTCCTAGAGCTAAGAACTGCCTCAGAAAGCAGGTAAAATACTTGAAGTCTTTTCTCATATCAAAATTATTTCTCCTTTAAAAGTGTTTGGCTTGTCAGTGTGATGTCTGTCAAAAAAGTATCAATGACTAAACACAATGTGAGTGATATCAAATCTTGTTTATAGTATTCTTACAATATTTGTTACACTTCTTGTACTGTCTGTGATGAAATTAAAAGTTAAGGTAGTAAAAAACTGAGTACAAATAAAACATTTTTTTACTTATAACAGTTGTATAATCACAATATTTAGTTTTTTTATAGCGGTAGTTGATGAGTTGTCTCTCACTTAAGTTAATTGTGGATTTCTCCAAAGTTTGATCATGTTATAAATATTTCTGATGATCATTTTTTTTCTCCTCTATCATTATGGAGAAAAATTACTCTTGCTAACAAATCAACTTACAGCCTTTCCATTCTTTATAAATCACGGTGAGATAACTTAAGAAGATGTTTGACTAGATGAATTTAAATATGCTTCTGTTATAATAATCTACAATATTGCTTTTCTTTTACATAAAATGACCTGCCTTTTCATATACTCCCATTTCAATGTTGATTCATGCTCCATGTTTTATCAGTGTCTTCAGCCTGCCCTTTGACCAGCAATGGAAATCAAAGGAGCAGCAACTGAAACTGCAGATTGCTAAACTAGAGACGGCTATCAAATCTGATTTAGCAGACAAAAATGAAATCCTTGACAAGATTAAAGTAGAAAGAGGTATGTTTCTGAAAAATATATTGTTTTCTGAAGATGTGAGACTGGAGTTGAGGTATACTGCCCAGAAAAGTGTAGTTTCTGTTTCAAAGCTGCCTTTTAAGTGTACATTTGCTCAATGTGAGTATGTTATGACTATTTATTAAATACAAAAATTGACCCAATGCATATTATGTGCTGAATGAGGCTCATATAATTTCAGCTGTATTCATTCTTCATCTGTTTGGTTAATAATTACTCTTTATTCAGTATTTCTTCTCTCCTCTGCGTTCTTACAGAAAAGAGGCTCATCTGACAGCCTCTCTCAAATTATAAACCACTTTTCTGTTTACTGTACAAAGTTACATGAAGCCTATATAGGCCCCTGGTGATGTTTAATTGTCTTTTAATTTTATTAATTCAGAATTTTTTAATATTTTCAGTACTAATACTAATTTTTATTTACAGCTTTGTACATTTACAATAACACAGTTTTCTTATAATCTACTTGAACAGATTATTTCATGTGTTTTTCCCATGCTGTAGGACAAGTTCTAGTGAATATTTGTAAGACCTTGTGATCTTTTCTTTTTTTAATCTCAACACTGTGATATACTGTAGCAATATCAGGTTTACAAAAGAAGAGCACAGGCAGGAATTGAAAATATTTAGTTTAGAGTTGATTCTTCACATGTGTATTTTCAAAAGGTGTCTTTTTGTGAACAGCCTAATGGAATGAAGTGGGACAATTTGTTGTGACTAATTCTTCTCATGATTATGGTTTGAGTTCAGCATGTTCTTACCCTTTTTTGTACACATTTTTAATATTCACACTTGCTGCTCAAGACACTAATTTCAAAACTGTGAAGGCTATATAGAAAGCAAACCAGCTTTTCTTCAAATTGGGACAATTTCAATGACTTGTTGAACCAGTGTGGGCCACGCTGTCAACAGCACAACTCCATCTGCCTTAGCACTGTCCATGCTGCCTCTCCTGATTCTCAACAGCCTGTTCACAATTTTGAAGTTAGTTTTGAGTTAGTTTTAGTTTTTGAGCAGCAAGTGTGAATGAACATTAGAAATGTGTACAAAAACTGGAGTTCATGTTAGAAAAAGAGTGGACTGAGCTTGTTGCTGTTATCAGAAAATCCATGGTGAGACTGAATTACTTGAGGAGGGATATCTTGTCTCCTTATCCCTGGAAAAAGTGCCAGTTTATGGCACTTTTATATTTTATATTACAGGGAAAAGAAACATTATCAACATAAGGGGCCTTTTCTCTCAGTGGGAGATCTCCAAACAGAGACAGATCTTTCAGGTTTGTTATTTAGGAGAATCTAGAAGACTCAACTGCTATCTTCTCTTTCCATTCACAAGGCTTATTTTAATTGTTCTCTTGTTTTGTTTAGCTCTTAGTGTTTCTAATTACATTTTCTTCTCAACTGCACAAATGCATTGCATTTTCCTCAATAACTGTACAGAATTAAAACCTCACTATGGTGATTATGTGTCTGAATTGAAGGTGACTCTAGTGAAGAATCCTCACATGTGTCAAGCTACTGAGTATAAGAGCAATGGCATCACACGTGATTCATTTTTAGTAAAGATGTCACTCAACATATAAGCACTGGAAAATTAAAACAAACTTGATGTCAATTTTTGAAACATTTCAAGACCCTTGAGACAGGCATCTCAGCCTCCTGTTTCCAGATGAATTCAAATTCATTCATTTTGACAAAGAATTTTATATCCTCTCTGTTTCCCTCTTCCCTTCCTCCCCCACAACAGAAAGCTGTACTTAGTCAGGCATACCTCTCAATTTAGAAATACAAAAAGTGTAGATTTTTGACACTGTAAGTTCCCTTTTTTTAATCCTTACATGTATGAGATGTATCAAAGAGGAATAGTTTTCTGTTCCTGTCTGTGTGATTGTTAATACCAAAGTGTGATGTTTTAGGAATGGTATTCCTCAATTTAGTGTTCCCACCGAAACCATCCAAGCCATGTGCTGCTGGCTCCCCTTTCCCCCTTCCACCTCCCTTGAGGTGGCTGGAGAGGAGAACTGGAGGCATAAAAGGCAAAGATCAGCAGTTGAGATAAGAACCCTTTACTGGAAGCAGCAATGAGATAAGAAAACAAACAGTAACAACAACAATATTAATAACGGGGTACAGGAGGTCAATGATTCCCACGTGTGCTCCCCACAAAGGACCCCCATGTCCTGGAAGAAACCACCTTCCTCTGTCCCCAGCAGTGACACGAGGTGGGACAGAATAACTTCAGGTGGGACAGAATAACTTCAGTGTCCTGGCCATGCACCTCCTGCCCTCTGCAAAAATTAACCCTGTCTTGGCCGGAACCAGGACACAAAGATTTCCTTATACAAAGTACGTTGGTTTCTGCATTTTGAAATTAATTTTTCATGCATATATTAATATGAAAAAAGCCAGTTTAATTTTTTTAACTATGTTGAATTAAGCTTAATATTTTCTTCTTCCATATCAAGACCAAAAGGAAAAGCTGATGCAAGACAACAAGGACCTGCAGTTATGCTACCTGGAACAAAAGCAGCAACTAGATGATCTGAAAAATCAAGTAAAGTTTTTGACCAAGGTGAACTCTATTTCTGTTTAGAATACAAGAGAAAAAAAAACCCTCTATGTTTTATGCATAGTGCGAATACTTCCTGAAAATAAAAGAATGCAGAAATATAAGTGTTTGTTTATTCATGCTATCAAGCAAAGTGTCATGTCTAGTGAGAATGTATCTTGTTACTTGAATGTATTTCTTTGATTCACATCTGATGACATCTTTCCCTTAAGTTTCAGGAAAGTGATGTTGATGTGGCAGAACTCAATGAAGCTCTCTTGCTTATAAAGGTAATTTACAAAGCATAAGCATATAAGGAACTAAATGATCTGTAGGATCCCTTCCAATGCAAACCATTCTAGGAGTCTACATATTTTCCATTAATTTTATTATTTTAAATCAGATTCACAACCATTTGTCTCAGTTAAATGACTTATCATGCCATCTTGTTCTTCCTATAATGTTTATTAAAAACAATTTTGTTTACTAATTCTGTAATTTATCTGAGCATGGAAGTTCTAATGTGTGACACAGCAATGCTGAGCAACTTCTCTCTGTTTATTGAAACAGAAAACCAAAAATACTCAGAAAACTTGCAGCAAGTTTCCACTGAGTGACTTACATTTTATTTTCTTGAGGAGGTGTTTACTGTAAATATAATCTTTTTCTGCAACAGAAATGCAAATGATAATTATATAATGATAATGAAAAAAAGAAAGGAAAAAACCCACTGAAAAAATCCAGATGAAAATTAAAACCTCAGCATTAATAACAGAAGTAATGTAGACTTGAGAAGAATAATTCAGATTTTATACATTCACTGAAGCAGGATTATTAATTATATAAAAGGCAAATATATTAACAAGTTCATATTTTCATTGGATAGACAGGAGTGATTGCTTCTGAATAGCTGATGTGTTTAATTGGTGCCTGGGAATCATGAGATTACATTGCTTAATACAATCCTTTCCAGTCTACCTCGTTCCTATTTTTGTGTTATCACCTGCTCAAAATTTATTATAAAGTTCTGCTGACTGTCTTGTTTCACCCCAAGTATCTCCCAGTGTTGCATTTAGTCAGGCACAAATACGTCCAAACCTTTTGCAGAAGTTTGTTCTAGTAATTGTTTTTAACTTGCTCCAGGATCGAAAGCAGCAGAAGAATGGGGACTCTCTGTTTTTGGAAAAACCAGAAGATGATATCCATAAAGATTCAGAACACTCCATGAGGGAGCTGCAATTAACACATGCAGAAACAGTGCAAGAACTTGAAAAGACAAGGAATATGTTAATTATGCAGCACAAAATTAGCAAAGATTACCAGGTACTAAACTCTGCTTACAGTGGAAAATAACCTGATAACAGCGTTTTAACATTTGTAGCTTTGACACTTGCAATAATTAAGACTTGCAAATTCAGCAAGCAACAAAGCCAACCTGTGCACAGGGAACCAAACATAAAATTTGCTGTTGTTGAAAGTATTGTTTAAAAAAACCCTGAGGTCCAAATGAATAGAATTGTGGTCTTTTAACTCCTCCTGTTCAGAGCCCTCAAGCTGTGCTTTCTTGGCATTATCTCTGAGCTCTTACCAGCTCTTCACAGGTAAGATAGTAAGTGTGCTTATCTAATAAACTTCCCTTTCTGCAGCACTCTGCTTTCACTCTCTTCTGTTGGATTATTGCAGATCATATTTTGACTTCTCATTCAATTACTTTAAGTTTAAAATAACAGAATTGTTAAAGAAACTGTTAGGAACATTGTCCTGAAAGAACAGCTACTCTGTTTTTCTTAATAATGTGCTTAGATTTTGCTGAAATTAGAACTGATTGCTGCATTGATGTATTAAAAACTGCTGCATTTTTGTGTGCTGTAAATGTTTTTTCCTTGAATCTAATTCTATTTTAATTTGTTGCCAAAAGCATTTGCAGTATCAGTGCAGACAGGCCTCAAAAGTCATTTTTACATAATTTTTTTTTTTCAGACTGAAGTAGAAACAATGACTAAAAAGATGGAAAGGACACAGAAAGACTACGAGTTAAAACTGGAACAGTATTCCCACCTTCTTGATATTAGAGCTGCACGTATCAGAAAACTAGAAGGTATCTTTATTGGACTCAGTGATCCTGATGGGTCCCTTCCAACTCAGCATATTATATGATTCTTCTCTAATTTATTTTTTTTTATATTTTATCTCTTGCAAATTACTGTTGTAAATCTGTTCTTCGCTTGAAACACTTTTCCATTCCTAAAACTGGTAGAAAGGTTAGTTCTTTCATGGAAAATTATCTGTGTACTATTTTATTGACTTCAATGACAGTTACTAATCGAACAAAATCCAACAAAGCAGATTATGCTGCAGCTATTGCTGAATAAGAATAAAATTACCCAACTTTATTTTTTTAAGTAAATCATACGTTTATGGACAAACTTTCGTTTTGCAGTCCTGTCATTACAGAATCACTTTGTGTTGCTAAAAACCCTAAAGTCATGTTATAATAGACTGACATGTTATTTCAACAGGATGCATTTCAAATAGTTTTTTAATGACTTCACTGTGTAAAAGGTGCATAAGAAGCCTGAAATAGAAAATCTTACAAACCCCGATGTTGTAACAATTTTCACGTTTTGTCTTCCAAGTTGCATCCCCTGCCTCATGGTTTATGTCCTAGGTCTGTAAGCATGTATTTTGATTTCATAGAATCATAGAATAGTGGAATAGCTTGGATTGGGACTGATCTTGAACACCTTCCACTGGACCAGGCTGCTCAGAGCCCTCTCTGGCCTCCGTTAGCCACATGTTAACCACTGACCACCTGAAGCTGGGCAACATGGAAAGGGTTTTGCTGAGAGTTCTACCCACTCAAGATTTAACAGATGTTAAAAGTCAGATCTATTATTTCTTTCCCTACAAAAACATGCATCTTAAATCTCTGGTACATTTGCCTAGTGATACTTATTTTGAACAGTGCATCAAACTTCTGAATTCTTGCTTTTTAACTCCCTTATAATCTGATAATAACTGTTAGGGGCCTGTGTCTGTTTTTATGTATACTGGAGCAGGTGCACTGAGAAATACTCTTGATTGTTGTCAGTCTTCTCAGTGAGCATTAGATGTATGATTTAAAGTGTGATTTCTTCTTTTTGGTAGTGCCTTTAAGAAAGTAACATTGTTCATAGAATTGAGTTAGGCTTTTATCCTTTCTACTCAGTCATTAATTATATATTATCAGGAACAGTGTGGCCAACAGGTCCAAGGAAGTGATTCTTGCCCTGGACTCAGCACTGGTGAGGCCACCCCTGGAGTGCTGTGTCCAGCTCTGGGCCCTCAGCTCAGGAAGGACATTGAGGGGCTGGAGCAGGTCCAGAGAAGAGCAACAAGGCTGGGGAAGGGACTCAAGCACAAGTGGTGTGAGGAGAGGCTGAGGGAGCTGGGGCTGTTCAGCCTGGAGAAGAGGAGGCTCAGGGGAGACCTCCTCACTCTCTACAACTCCCTGACAGGAGGGGGGAGCCAGGTGGGGGTTGGTCTCTTTTCCCAGGCAACTCTCAGCAAAACAAGAGGGCTGGGTCTCAAGTTGTGCCAGGGGAAGTTTAGGTTGGATATTAGAAAGAATTTCTTTCCAGAGAGGGTGATCAGCCATTGGAATGGGCTGCCCAGGGAAGTGGTGGATTCTCTGTCCCTGGAGGTGTTTAAGGTGAGACTGGATGTGGCAGCAGTGCCATGGGCTGGGAACCACGGTGGTGGTGGATCAAGGGTTGGACCTGATGATCTTGGAGGTCCCTTCCGACCCAGCTGATTCTATGATTCTAATATTTGATTTTTAAAAAAGACAGTCATATTATAGCTCTATTTTATCTGTTGCAGCCCAACTAAGAGATATTGTCTATGATGCAAAAGCACCTAAGTCCAGACCAGAAATATCGCCAGGTGATCCCATGGATGGATTTGTTGAAACCATTCATTTAGAGAAAGGAGAGAACCTTTTTGAAATTCATATCAGCAAAGTGACCTTCTCTCCTGAAGCCCTGCACGCCTTTGGTGACCAGGAACCTGCAACTTTCTGTACTTATGCATTCTATGACTTTGAACTTCAGATAAGCCCAGTAGTCCGTGGAGGTGCCCCATCATATGACTTCACTTCTCAGTACCTGGTGCAGGCTGATGACACCTTCTGTCACTACATCCAGCAAAACAGCATCACCCTGGAGCTTCACCGCGCCTACGGCGTCGATTATGAAACGGTCGCTGCCTGTCAGCTCAACTTCCAGGAAATCTTGGAGAAAAACGGGAAGATCTACAGCACAGCCAATTTAGTTGGTAATTAAAATGGCACAGAGTGTTCTGTTTGATACCGTGTTGTAAGTGGAAGCGATGTGTATTTGGCCAAAAATTGAATTTGCGTATTACTATTTCAGGAGGAAAAAAAACACCCCAGGTTTATACAGAATGCTGCTCTCTGTTGGGTGTGCAGCATGTTCTGGTGGTTCTACCAGCAGCTGTGGGAAAGCTTGGACAGGTGCAACTTTGCCCATAATGGCTTAGGGTAAAAAGGGGAAAAAAACCAACCAGGAGGGACCCCCACTTCACCCGTATCAAGTATCAGGCCCAAATGTCATCAATATATCCTCTTACTCCTTATCAATAAATAAAGGAAGAAACAGTGTAATTTAAACTGGTAGGACAAAGGTCTTCATATAATAGTTGTAAAGCATCAAAAAGGTGCAAAGTCTGGAGATTATGGTTAATAATATTTCATATATTATATGAATAATCTGTGGGGATGTTGGTTTACATTTTGTGCCTTATTTTAGGCACATTTATGTGCATAATTTAAAAATAATTTTAAGATATCCTGGACAAGACACTCTTAAGAAGTATTGAATGTTCTGTGCTGCTTGCTTTTACTTTTAAAAATGTCAGATCAGCATATTCAGTGACCTCTAACTGCCCACTTTTGTAAAGAATGTGGTTTAATAAGCCCTTATAAAGTGATACTTTTGCCAGTAATTTAAATTACATACCACTTTTTGGGACACTTCCAACTGTTGACATACAAAACTGTCCTAAGCTTTATTTGCTTTGAAGAGATTAAAATAATGAACTTGCCTTGAACTTACCCTATAGCTTCCACAATAAAAATTGCAGATTACAGTATGAAAAAGTCATATTTTGATTTTTGGATCATACACGTGGAGCCAGAGGAGTTGTTGTTTCTGTTCCTAACAGCTGCAGATCTCTTGTTACAAACACTGTCATAATGCATAGACACAGGTCAATTAATCTCTAGTTTGTGGAGCTTCCTTGCTTTTTACTAAAGGGCTTTATTTTTGAAATGAAAATTAATGCAATCCCATATTTATTCCTTAGGAAAAACAGGACATGTTCAAAATTACGGTACCATAGAATACTGGGTCAGGTTACAAGTTCCTATGGATCAAGCTATTATTCCTTACAAACAGACATCCAATTTTAGGGAACATGAACAACCATCCCAGGTATGTTTGGGTCTGTACTTCATCAAGAACCAGTTGAATTATACCTTTCCCCAAGAGGCAAAGTCTTAAATTCAATTATTTATTTTTACTGAAATTGTCATTAGAACATTTGAAATTATTATATTTAATTTTTTTAAGCCATGACAGATTTTGTGAACATGTTATTCTAGTATAGTATTCATGAATGTTAAACCAACTAGGTGTCGGATCACTAGAATGGGTTGTTCAGAAAAGTCTCTGAGAAAATACTCAGAAATGTTTGAGTATTATGATATTACTTCACTTTGGGTTTTTTATTGGGTTTTTTACTGGATATTGAAGAGAATTTTGGTAATATAATGCACAGTACAATCAAGTTAAAATAAGAGTCACAGAAAAAGAAGGGACTTTCAAACACAACAGTTGATTAAGAAATAAAAGCAATCAGGTGAAAATGTATTAAACACTAGAGCTTTTAATGGGCTTTTTTTAAATTTAAGCTGTTTAAATTACTCTAGGTCTGCAGTAACTTTAATGTTTTATATTATTTCATAATGTAGGTTTGTATTATACTAAAATCTCAATGGGTTCCATGATGTAACCTGAGAAGTATGTTGTGTATGAGTTCTGATAAATCATCTCACCTGTTTAGAATTGAGTTTAGTGCCATTAGACTTGGCTTTGAGAAAAATAGGGTCTCTCCTCGTTTACTGTAATATAAGATGGTTAGAATATGGCAATAAATGGTCTTCATCTATTTGTTTTGTGACAGAAACCAACCCCCAAACGGAGGCAGCGAGCAGCACAAGCAGACAGGAGAGTCTCTTTTCTGGACCTCAATGCAATACAGGGAGGAGTAAGTTCTAATTATTTTTGTCATGCATGTTGAAGCATGAAAGGCTCCTTATGGCTCAGTCTGGACAATTTGTAGAACTCATAATCAAGAACACTGGATTATTTTAACAGCACAATGCTGGGATGTCCCAGGCAGTGAATGACAGCACAGTGCTGCATATAGGTGGGGAATACAATGCAGGGATATTGGTGTGACACCCTCAGAATTGCTTGATGTGCTCCACACTTCACAAGCTTCAACTTGCACAGGCTTGGGGCAAATTCTAACAGGACCAATCCAATCCCTCTGCACTGTGTTTCTCAGCTCTCTGCATTATTAAATTATCCTTGCACAGTGCACCCCTTGCACCTGCATAGAAATGGCTCTGGAGGAACCAAGCATGATCCAAACAGATCCTGAGTGTTGTTGCCAGTAAGATGCAATAGGACACAGTTCAGAGTCACCCTTTAAACGAGATTTATCAGCTGGGATTGCACACACTGTGAAAACAATTACATTTCTAAATTTGGGATACACTGTCGTCTGCACGTCCTTCCAGAGTCTGGGAGAGTCTGTGTGGAACTAACTCAAACATATCTGCTGCACAGTGTAAATTTTCATTTGATCTGAAATAATTTGTCTTCAGAGAACTAAGACTAGGCTGTCTTTAGTCTTTTAATTAAATCCAGTAAGTAAAGGTAGGTTTTGCAGCAGGTAATTTTAAAAGGTTATGAGTATTAATATTATGTAATAATAATATTGTGTTGCATTAATTAAAAGCTAGCTGTGATAAGTTTTCCTTTCGTAAATGCCTTGATTGATTTTTGAAATGTTAACATCAGTTTTCAATTAACAGATTCTGGTGTTGTTTATTTTACTATGAGTAGAACTTTCTTGTGAGATATACAGTATAAACTGGAAATAAGAATTAAGTCAATGTGTTGCACTTATTAACTTTAAAAAAAAAAAAAAGTCAAATGTTGGTGAATAAAATCTTCTGAGAGGTAAGATAAGAAAAACTGAAATGTTAACTGGATAGTCACACACACAATATATCTTCAGCTGTCCAAACAGTCACTTTTCAAAGTTCAGTTTTTCACAAACTGGGATTTTCTAAGGGAGGCAGCTACTTGGTCCCCCATCAGAAGTCTTCATTGCTGGGTGGGCACCTCCCCTAGCTGTTTTAAAAATCTAAGCTTCACTGTCTAGCTAGAGACAAAAGTACTGTTAGACCTAAATAATGAAATAGCTGGGCCTTCTCAGATGTCCAAGTCTTGTGGTGACATGGCAAGAGAGTGTCCATGCAAGAGAATTAGAAGTTCAACAGATTAAAACAGGAACAGTCTGTTTCATTTTCCAGTTCATTTTCTGAATAGCAAAGGATCTAATTCTGAGTCTTGTAGAACTTGTAGGACAAGATGAAATATAAATGAATCTGGAAATCTAACAGGCTGTATATACGTTTAGAGGTACAAAATGATTATAATTGTTGTGTTTTCACAAATACACATAATTAGGGAACTGTCTTTCTGCTGTATCAATTACATGTTACAGCAGTTGACACCTTCTTTTGTCCTGCATTGCATAAGCAATACAATTGTTTAAAGGCTGTGGATAATGAATGTGGGCCATAACTCTTCGAGTTTTGAACCTTAGTAACTTTTACTATTCAAGGAATGTTATAAAGACTGTAAGTGTATTTTTTTCTATAGGGTGTGGTACAGGAGGTTAAACAGCCATCAGATGATCAGGTGAAGGAGATGGCTGAAGAAATTCAACAGGGAAAAGAAGAGCTCTCACATCTCTCTGAGCAGCAGTTACCTGACCAAACATCAGTTCCTTCTGCAGATGAGACAGAAGTAACTGAAGAACTGGAGCCAGAAGGTAGAATTCATTTTTGTTAATAAGTAGCTGTATTTTAGAAATTTGTGGCTCTTTCCATTTTCATAAGCATTTCTTTCTCTAGCAATGGGGGCTGCCTCATGATGAGAAAGTGAGATTCTGGGGTGCTTTACAAGCTGAAGCTGTGTGGTGGATGATCTTCCCAAATGGAAACTGTATTGTAGTTGATTGCAAAAATCTGGTATCTTACCTGGATTCATAAAATATTAAAGGATATTTATATTCTCCCTTATCAATATGCTGTTCTAAAGACTATTTTAATGAATGTGCTCCTTTTGTGTGCAGGTAACAGCCCAATGCTGGTATCAGAAATCCTTTCAGACAGTGAGAGGAGTGGTGTGCCTTATCACATCTGTAACATAAAGGTGTTAGAGGCAGATTTATTTAAAGATTATATAAGCTATAAAGATTTATTTAAGATTATATAATTTATTTAAGATTTATTTAAAGATTATATAATCCTCTTCCACCTCTGAGCTTAAACTGTTTAGTACTGAAATAAACCAAGTCCACATTACCAAATTAAAAGTAAAAGCACAAGAGGAATGCTAAAATTTTATGTTTAGTTGTTTCAGCTTTTGCATAAGAATTCATTAGAAAGACTGGAAAAATACCTGTTGTTTTTATTATAAGTAATTTGCTTCAGAGAAAAAAAACCCCTGAATGCTCTAGAAAATAATCCATCTGCATACAGAATTACTTTTTTATTAAAAAAAAAGGTGCATTCTTCTTTTACATGTGCATGGTTTTAAAGGAAGTCAGAGGAAATCCACCAATTCAGGCCATATTCTTATACAAAGCTAACAGTTGTCCATACTTCAGTTCATCACAGGACTTATGTCATTCCATTTGCCACCCTTCATCTGGGAAATATTACTATTTTTTTAACAAACCAGAAAAAAAATACAGTTTATGTGACTCTGAAGGTCATTGATTTGCAATATTATTCTTCTGCAATGAAGAGAAGATTTACCTGGCACTTATTCTTTATTTATTAGAAAAGGAAATGTATTACTGTCAGATTTCTCAGCAAGTCTCAGATTGTCTAAAATACAGGTTTTAGCTACATTGATTTTTTTTTTCAGATCAAGAGGATAGACAAGAGGATGATGCTGTTGAATCAATAAAAACTGACAGTGATGACTGTATTATTTCAAGTCCAGTATCCACAAATATTAAACAGCTGAATCAGAGTATATATGGCAATTTGGTAAGACTAAGAAAAATAGTTTAAGCCTAATGTCCTCTAGGAGTAGCTTTGCTATATCTGACATCAGTTTTCAGTGAAGTTGTACATGCAGAGTATCCAATCTCTTGACTTCTTCTTAAAACCAGCAATTCAGGACATGAAGTCATAATATACAAAATATCACAGCATGGCATAGTGACATCTTGCCTTTGTTGGTTAAACCACTCCCTCTTCTGTACAATCTTTTACTGTTGTTATTGTGTTTATTGCCATTTCTTCAGTAAATTGTGACTCCAATTTATAATGCCTTGTAATATTTTTCCCTCCACTACCAGAAGAGGGACTGTTTGAGAGGGCTTGGTCTTCTCAGTGAGTTTTAGAACAAGTAGACCTTCTTTTAAAGGACCAGGGGTGTAATTTTATATCCTATCAGTTTTTAGTGTTCTGCAATGTGATATCCTAGAGGTAGTTTGATTTTTTTGAAGTGCTCTTTTCAAGGTTATGGGACATCTTACAGAGTAACTAGCAATGAGAAACATGTATGAGAAATATTGCTCCTTTTTTTTAAGCTGTAAAAGGTACATCTTAAAAGATGTTACACATCTTCAGCTACACAGGTGTGTAGAAATGCTGTCACTTCTATGTTCTTGAGAAAGATACAGAAGGTACTTTTGAAGATTGAATTATTTATATGTAAAAATTTTCATCTGTAATTTTGAGAACTAAAATGACTGCAGCTTATCGCTATTCATTCAAACTATAATACAGTTGCTTTGTACTTTTCTAGTCATCCTGTATTTTATTTTATCAAAATTATTTAAGAAAACTTCTGAGAAAATTTTGTGTGTAGATTCATTTCAGGTTCATCCATTTCTACCTCTCTCCACTGGTCTGTTCCTCTGGTAACAAAGTGCCTGTTCATGAAGGGTAGATAAAATAATAAAAGCTATAAACTACTAAGGCAACACATTCGATACAAGTTGGACTTTAAAAACATGCATTGGTTTATTTGAATTCTTGAGCTAATTGTAGAATGTGGCCTGTCAAAATTGTTATTGAAATTGTTTTTTTTTTTTAAGATTAAAAATTACTGTCTTTCATCTTTTAAGATAATTATCCTTCTGGTAATCAAACACTGTAAATACATTTTGTGATTTTTAGAAATCATTGTGCTCATTATCCTGTAAATCTGCCAAACTGTTAAAGCCATTTAAGATCATGCTGGGGTTTTTTTGCATGTTGCAAATTAGACAGTTAATGGTTATTTCTTATATTAATCATAAGGGATATCTAACAGATTTTCCAGTGCCTGGCTGTACCATTTGCTTCTTCTTGTCTATGATGTATGATTAATCACAGAATACTTCATTTTGTTTCATTTTATTTACAAATTTGAATATGAAAAACATAATTCAAGTCAAAGACCATCACTTTAATGATCCTTGGCAGTCATTTGACTTACTAGATTTTAGGAAAAGAATTCCTTTAACTATTTCATTGTTCTAGGCTAATCCCAGTAATGTTGCCAGCTGTACTGGTGGAGACAGAATGGTGTGGAATTTTTTCTGTCATCCCAGTTAAATTTCCATTAATCAACTGAATAGTAAAATAACCTTATTAAAATCATCAGATTTGGGGTTTTAGTTGAAGTGGCTTAAGATACATAATAAAAGGAAATGTTTTGAAAGAAGAGGGTAAAATTACTTCATCACATACTGAAAGAACTTGACAGCAATGGAAAGTGTTGGATATTTTTACAATAGGATATACCTGCTTTTCAGTTTAATTATGTAATTTGCTTGGAAAAATGTAAGCTATCTCCATAATAAATAAGGATATTGATTTGCAGTTCAGGCAGAATCTAGAAAGCTAATCTTTTGAATATGATTCAGTACTTCAAGGGATTTAAGTTTACAATCAAAAATCGTCAAAATATTTCAGTATAGGGGAAATATTTCTGATGAAGTTATGAGCTTGAAAAGAAAGAATTAAAAAATATTCTTTGACATTTCTGTACTCCAGCATGTTCTGTTTGCTCTTTGAAGGATGTCATCTTTGAGTGCTCACCTGGGTATTCCAATTTTGATACCATAGTGGCTTTTCTTTGAATTACAGAGTTAACTGGGGCACTGTTTGTGATTCTTTCTGTTGAGTCTGACATTCCCACTTAAATACCTCAAACTTATTGAAAGTTATCTGCACACAAATACTCCAGACTTGGCAGAACACTATGAAAATTTCATATAAGGAACAGAAAAATGTAACTTCAGTGAAATATAATAAAAAAAGACTCTGGTGAAGAACAATTGGGATATTACTTTTATTACCATATTGTTAATTTTAACTTTAAAAGGTATATGTTAGATTTAACTAAGAAAGTTCAGTATTTGACATTCAATTCCTTTCAAATACATTGTTACTTTACATGCCTAACAATTTGTGACTTGATGGATTTTTATTAAACTGTAGCCTAGTCTGCAGGAGGTACTAACAATTCTCTTTCATTTGGAAAACTTTCATACCCAGTATTCCTGAAACTGTTTTAAGCAGTTACAAGATCAGTTTGCTGTGTAGCTAAAAATGATGACAACTGAAATTTCTGCTTCAGATTGTATTTGTACATAAAGATAACCTTAACCTAATCTCCAGCAGACTGTGACTATTGCAAAAATATTTTAAACATCAAATGGAAATCAGGATCTCTTGCAACAATAGTCTTCAATACAAACCCTGGGGCTTTAGATTCTCCTTGTGTATGTGTAAAAATCAGTCAATCAGCATTAATCATACAAAATAGCTGATGGTTTACATGTGTGAGTGTTTGTTGTGTGTTAATTTTGTATTATGTTTGCGTTTTGTTTTTAAACAGGAAGCGGAAAAAATCCGGATTAAAATCACCTCACTTGGTCTGACTGAGTCCCGAATTACATCAGATGAAACAATACAGCAGCTGTTTGTGGAATGCAGATTAAACAATTTCCTTGCAGAGGAGACCCCACTGTCACTTCCAAAACCAACAGGTGGTCAGAGGATTCACTACAACTACAGCACTGGTGAGTGTGAGGTGTTCCTGAGCAGTCTTGTTTCTTCCCTTCAGCTGTGTCACGTGAAAATGCCTGCAATAAAGCCCATTTCCTACCCATAATAGTTGTGTTTATCTATGTGCCAACTGCATTTGTCTGTTTTCCAAATATTTTGGGAAATATTAATGGTGATTTTTAAGAAATGAGGTAAAGATGCCGTTTTCAAGTACAAAATGAAATATTGAAGAAGGCTTGTGTGTGAAATAGTAACATCACAATATATTTAAATATGCTGTTAGCATGTAAATTTTAAAATTAGAGTATGCATAACAAATTTATATGTTCTTTTTAAAAGAGCATGATGAACTAATTTTTCTCTTGGTACATGATGATACAGCAAAAGGAAAACATTCTGCCTAACCATGTACAACTAAAATAGAATTGAAAAGAGAATATGTAATTGGAGTTGATCATCACTTGCAAATAGTAATAACAACTTTTTAATATGGGAAACTATTCACCCGTGGTTAATACTAACATATTGCTAATTACTTCATTATACTTTATATTTACACTACTGGCATACATAGAACTATTGTAATAATTGATAATTCTCTTGTTAATTATTTTCCCAGCTATTTCTTAGTATTTCAGTTGTTCATTAGCTTTTTCTTTCCCGTTAAAGTCTATTTCAATTAAGATTCAGTGTGAGTGCTTCATGTTGTCTTGGACTTTCAGGTGACAATGGTGAATCAGTTTGCTATTTTTGACAAACCATTAACACAGACATTCCAACTAAACATATTTTTTTTTAAATAATTTTGTAACAGTGGCTTTGCAGAAGTGGTGTCACAGTCAGATCTTTAAAATTGGTACCATCTACCAAAACCTGATTTGAGATGTAACTTGCCAAGGAATTTACTCAGATCCTGCTCATACTCATAAACTATTAACCCACCCTGTAGCTGGAGACTGAAATCCCTGCCAGGTGTCACATCACCCACTGCTCTGGTGGCATTGCCCACGTGATGACAGGACACAACTGGGAGCTTTTGTGGCTCTGAAAAAGACAAGAATCTTTGTGAGGCTTTAGGAAAGAAAAACAGAATCACAAAAATTAGTGCTGCAAAGTCCTCCATTCGCTGAGGCTTTACTTCCACTCAGACAAATGGGATTTCTGCCATCATACACTAAATAAAACATCAGTTAAGGGTTCTTTTTCTGAGGTGAAAGATACCTGGCGAGCTCCTGTAAACTCTTCCAGATGTTCTAGGTAGGCAGACATAACTGAAATAATATTTTTAAAACCTCATTGAAATAATACCATAAGCCATTAAAAGCTTTTAAATGCTTTTAATTTCTCTTGCTTCAGGGACTCTCATTGCTTTGAATATAAGAAGCTTTTAGAAGATATAAAAGTTCTTAGACAATATTCTGATCCCTGTGTATATATTAGGTACAGTCTAAGCATGTTAGTTGTTTAAGTATCAACTCTGCAAAATTAAATTTATTAAATTAAATAAAACTAATTAAATTAAACTAATGAAATGCAGCAAAATGATGATGAATGGAAAACAAAACTGCAGACTTTTAGGACCATTAGGAAACTTCAACACATTTCAAGCTGTGATATTTGAAAATAGTATCATGCTTTGTAGAGACTGTAATTTATAAAGCTTTCCAGTCTAGTAGTGCTGTATTGTATTGTTTCTGTTAATCCTGGCTTCATAACTTTGATTTTTTTTATTTGCTGCTAAAGTATGAAATATAGAACTTCAAAAGTTTAAGCTTCAAGAAGTTCCTAATGAATCAGTATAAAAAGGTGGGTTTCAGTATGAATTGCTCCAGGGTTGTATTCTGCAGCACAACACTAAGGTGGTTGTTATTTGCAGAGGTTGCTTAGATCATTGGTCATCTAATTCCTACTCAAGATTAGATTTGCATATATGGGGGAAAAAACCCTAATGAACCTGCCTTTTGATAAAGCCAGTTGAGAACCCACTAAGATTATAGTAATGAAATCTGCATGTGGGTTTGCTACAGTTTTACTGCACCTTCTAGTCATGTCTAATTAGATATGAGTATGCTGAATATTTGAGGTTCATTGAATATTTTCTTAAATAAAAATAAGATTTGCATGGGTAGAAAGAAATTTACTTTGAGCTTAGAAGGAAACTAATAGTCTTTTAGACCTCTGTATGGAGAAAATCAGGGTAAATCCATAAATTATCTAAAAATTACTAATTCCTTTAATAAATAAAACATTTTATATTATCTATATCTGGAACTGCCTGACTATTTTAAAAAGATCTTAACTGATACAGAATGCTTCACGAGATTCATTGTTCAAACATGTGAAAGCATGTCATTCATCAGGATCTAAAAATATATTTTCACCATAGTTAATCATTTTCCCCAGACTTGAATGGAGTTCTTTGCTGGATGTTTTACTCCTTAGTCTGAATTTTTCCATCAAGTGAAATGAATTTGAACTCTTTAAGTTTGTAAATAATTTCCATTTAAAACTGTGTTAGATGCAGAACTAGTAAACTTAGGAAATTCCATTTTGGATGCTTATGGGAAAGGGAAGAGTCTGTTAATATGGCAGCTCCTCTGAACTTCTCTGTCTGTCCATCTGTGTCCCTGCTGCCTCTTGATTTCCTGTGCTGATCTCAGGAGCACTTATTTTTCTTCATATTGCTGTTTTCCAATACTCCCTGCTCCTTGGGAAATTGGTACTTTCTGTTTATACAAATAAGTCTGTTTTGGATAGTAGGAGACAGTATGAAATACGTTAAAGATTTCTGGGAGTGTGTAGGAAAAGGAAACCTTCATGTGACATGGAGAGTGAAAAAGAGCAGTTGTGAGTACAGTGGCAGAGTAAATAGAAGAGAATGAATAGTAAAAATGTTGGAATTTAAAGACAGATGCATTTCTAGCTCCTCCTCCCCTCAAAAGCAAATGAAAACTGTTCCAAAGAGCTGTGTTTGTTCCTCAGAGGGATATATTCATTCAAGTTCTGTCCTAGCAAATTTTTTTCAGCTGCTTTTTTTTCTTAAAAAAAACAGTAATTCCTTTAGCACTTCTTCAGTTTTTGCATCCTGAATTTTTATAATATTCCATAGAGTTAACTTGCAAGAAAGAAGGTACCTCTTTAGAATAAGATGCCCAAAAACTTCTTAAATAATTTTTTAAAACCATATTTTTCCTTCTTTTAATGTATTTTTCAAACCAAGGCTAACTTCACTGTAGGTCGTATTAATGGTACAAAAAAGCTGCTCCTTGTGTTTGCATTTTAAACAAACTTTGCTTTCAGAGCATTCACACACTCCCCAGGCTGTGGATTTTCTCCGGTCCCTTGGTCTGGAGGTTTCTCTTCCTGAAATGCTGTGGCAGGAAAGGAGGATTAAATTACTGAGGCTGTCTGTCAAAAAGGACAAGCACTCTGCCACACATTATCATCATCACAGTGGAAGAAATGCAGTAAATCACTTCAATTTCAAATTCAAATACAAAGCAATGAAGACCACTGGTTTTTAAAATCAAAGGCTGCTATTACCATTAACAGAAAGTGGCAGTCATGTGGCTTAGATGCTGCTTGGATGTTTTTTGACAGTGTGCCTGCCAGCTGACACACCATTAGATCACAATTCTAACATTGTTGCTTTTTATTAGAAAAGAAATGTTTATTTTTCTTTGTTCTTTTCTTCATGCTCTTTCTCGTAAAAGGTTAAAACCAATTGATAACTAATTACATTCATTTTGATTTCCTTTGCAGTGATAAATGTGGATAAGACACATAATCATGCAGAGAGAGAGTATCTCAAGTCGATTCTTCTGAAGCCAGATCCACCTGCTGACAGGTACAGATTAGTGCTGGAAATCTCTGTTACAGGGCTTGTGGTTTGCCTTGTCTTACTTGAGGTAACCCCGAGAAATCAATACATAACTAACCAGGGTTTCTGGTAAATAAAGGAGATGAGCTAAGGCACACCAAATATCATATTTAAATATTTTTCTAAACTTCAAGCTTGTAATATTTTTTTAAAATTACAAAAGTCAAAGTGATTGTGGTGCCGTTCATGCAAATCCACTAGTTGGAGTATTCCCATGGGATCCAGAGTTCAAATCTCCTCCTTCCTGCTTAGCACCACAGATTTAATCCAGTGTTATCATCTTTTAGGCATATTGGAACTATAAGAGGTTAGAGGTACTCTTATTTGCATCTGTTTTGTTGAGCTTGCTCTTGTCATGTAAAAAACCTTTGTTTGATTTGAACCACAGGGTGGGTGTGTATGAATGATTCTCCCCTTTGGCTATAAGTTACTGTCCCAAATGTTACTATGCCTGCTTTTAATTTATGCTGTATTGAAAATTTTAGTAATAGTTGTACCTGTAAGTTAAAAATTATTCCTGTCTTAGGTGCCAAGCTGATTTCCCCATATTGATTTGATTGAACATTGACACTGAATCAAAACAGATCTATTCCCAGTACCCAGTTTTATGAGTTGTTATTATCATTTTCAATTTTTTAGATGTTATTTAATATTTATCTTATACATCTAAGTATTTTTATTTTATTGAGTTTTAGCAATTTTGCTTCTGCTTAACTCTTTGCCAAAATCCTAAATTAATTCAATTATAATCAAGCCACCTGTTGAAAATAGCTGTGATATTTTCCCTTTTTTGCCTCTAGACCATTTATTTAAACACACATTTTCAGTGGGTCTCTGGGTTTAGTGACAAATATCTACATATATCTTTTCCATAATAAATACTTGTTAGTAAGAGCCAAGCACAAAAATAAACTACTTGTCATGGTTTAGGAATGGTACTCGCCAATTTAGTGTTCCCCCTGAAACACCCCAAACCACCCGCTGTTCCATCACTCCCCTTTCCCTGCAGTGGCTGGAGAGGAGAACTGGAGGCAAAAAAGGCAAAGATCACAGGTTGAGATAAGAACAATTTACTGGAAAATGTAATAAGACCACGAACAGTAACAGCAACAATACTAATGACAGAGAGTAAAAACGAGGCCAATGATTCCCATGTTATTGCTCACCCCGCCGGCCCCCCCAGAAGGGACACCTTCCCTCATCCCCAGTGAGGTGGGACAGAATAATCTCCATGTCTTGGCCATGCCCCTCCAGGCTACTCCAAGAACTAATCCTGTCCTGGCCAGAACAAGGACACAGCTATAAAAGCATATTGCAGTTGTGGTGTTGTCTCAGTTTAATGAGACCGAAGCGTTTGCTAAGGAGGATGAGTTCTGAGGAAAACCAAGCTCCTCCCTCTAACCAATTGTAAATCCAAAGTTAAGAGGCTCCAGTTAAGGAAATACGGAGAAAGAAAAGGTAACAGCCCTTTATTAAAGGATATTTGTGTATTGGCAGAACAACAAAAGAAGACAAAAACAAAGGCAGCCAGATGACCCGGCCGAAAACAAAATGAACCTGGGAGCCCCCCCACACACCTTCCCTGAGGCGGGGCAAAACTAAAGTGAAGACGCCATTTACTGAGGAGAAAAAAAAAACTTACCTCCCCCCACGGTCTTCTGAGGCCCATTAGCTTGGAATATGAGGCTGCGGGCAGTTCTTTTGTGTGTGGGAATCACTCTAGCCAACCACCCTCCCTCGTTCAACAACTTACTTTCACAGTGGTGCAGGGGGAAAAAAATGTCAAGCTGGTTTTTTTTTGGAACAAGTAAAGCTATGGCACGTGTTAAAAATCTTTTTAGGAAAATCTGTTTCTATTTTCTATAAGATATCCTTTCCCGCTGACTTGGATTTTGCACAACTCGAGTGTCACCCATTTGAAATTATGCTTATTGTAACATTTTTAGACTTCAAAGCACACAGACATTCACAGTTTGACCGGCTTTGCCAAGACATAGCAAATGTTACCTCTAAATTCCTGTGACTTAGTCAGTCTCAGTGTTTTTGGCCTCAGCACAAGCCACTAACTCAAGTCAGCTCTAACACAATTCAACACAATTATGTGTTTCGTAGAAAATCTCTACTTGGATGCAACGAGTATAATTTAAGTTCACAGAAGAAAAGCAAATATTTGGTATAGTTGTTGGTATAGCCATATGAATAAGGATTGTGCCATGGAGTGATGGGGAGGAGGGGAAATGAATCAATTCTGTAAGCCTGAAGATCTGGGGTTACAACCTCTCTGTCCTTTTAGTACTGCTAAATAATCCCAAAAGAGGAGGGAAGATTTTAAAGAAACAATCTCAGGATATTCTTGCAATGGGAAATGCTGAATATCATTCACTTGTAAAATAGTGTGGGCTTGCCTTTTTTATTGGTATTTTATTTGATTTTTAACCCTTTTTGAAGGTAAAATATCTTTTTGTTTGTTTGTTTTTTTGGGGGGGCTTTTTTGTGTTCAGCCTAAAATTTACAGTGGTCAGTGATCCCCCAGAAGACGAACAGGATCTTGAATGTGAGGATATTGGTTTTGCCTATGTCAGTCTGAAAGAGATATTCCAGAAGCAAAGAGATATCATTGAACAAGATATTGATGGTAAGTTTTAAAGATCTCTTTCTTGTTAACTTTTGTAGCCTAAAAATTGTCTGTTGAATTTCTGCTTTTCTTTGCAAGACTTACTGTGCAAGTAATTGTTTGACATTGTTTCAATAAGAAATTCTCTAATATTAACTAATGGGTTCCACATTTGTTTGCAGAAGTCTGCAAAAACTGTCTGCTGGTGTTATTCCTTAAAATCTGTTTAAAAAACCCAAAACCAAACAGCATTCCCAGCTCACAGTAATTAGTTTGTAAAATCTAAGAACTTTCAAACCACTTACTATAATTCTCCATTTTCTACAACATATTTTATTGTAGTAGGACTATATATATTTTACATTAAAATTTGTCAGCAATTCTGTATTGTTAATGTCTATATCTTATTTGAAGTTACATTATAACCCCCAGAGTACCTCAAGTTTGTGTCCTCCATAGGAAACCTGTATCTGGTGGGTTTGGTTATGAATCTGTGTTAGTGAGCAGCCTTCTGTCCCAGACTGTGCCCAAGCTCCCAGTGACTCACTAAAGCAAGGTGAGCTGAGCAGAGGTGTGGGATCTTCCATTTCCCGGGTCATAGGACAGCATTTTTATAACACCCATAAGAAGACCAGAGAAGGCCACTTGGTCCTTTTGTAGAGTGAGGAAAATATCCTCTTTGCTCAGTTTCCTGCTCCCCATGTATAGGAAAAATCCTTCCTTTAGATTTAAAAGCGGACAAGGAAAGTGTAGTGAGAAGTTCTTTACTGCAGCGCTGGGTGTGCTCCAAGTCACACGGGCCTGAGGGCACCACAACCATTTGAAAATCCCACCTTTTGTATCCTTTCGGTTCCATAAGCTGGTAAACATTCAGTGACCACCAGTTTTGTACCTTAAAAGGTAATTTCTTGGGCTCAGGAGGGGGTGTTACCTTCCCTCTTGATTGATTTGTGAGGGTACAGGGGGGTCTCTCCATACACAAAGGCCACGTGGCAGAGGATACATTTTTACTTTTATGCTTCTCCCTATTCCCAGTGTGCTGGTTTAAAAGTTAACCAGCAGGGGAAATAAACTCAACTCAAAAGAGAGATTATAAATCAGAATAACAATTTATTAAAATAATACAATAAGTACAATTATACAGACAGACAATTGGTTTTAACCCGCAAAAACCCAAATGTATAACCCGGCACCCTGGGGTATGAACAAAAGTGGTGTTCCTTGGCCTCCTGAGTCCAAAGTAAAGGGAGAGGGGAAAAACCTGCTGGTGGGAGAGCTGCTGCAGTCTAGTTGAAGGCAGTGGTCTGCAGTCTTCCTCTGGATCCCACGAGTGGTGGAAAGGTTCCGAAACTCCCAGTTTCTATATTCTCCAGTTCAGGCGGGAGTGCTCAGTCCCTCCCTCAGAGCGGGGAATTCCATAAAAGGGTATGAGGATGCTCAGTCCCTCCCTCAGAAGGGGGAATTCCATAAAAGGGTATCAGAGCAGGGAATTCCATAAAAGGATATGAGGACAGGAACATCTTCCCACCTCGCAGGCCTCTACTGACAGCAGTTTTTGGGCAATGGCATGGAAGGCTATAGAATACACAGTTTTGGGTTACACCCATCAGTGATGAATTGGTCCCAGCCGTTCTAACCAGGACACCCAGCCGCAAAGGTTCCCTGGCGTCAGGCCCAGACAGGACCCTCCACCTTACAGCTTTCACCATATGCCTAAAAACACCCCTTGGAACTAAATGAAGAAGAAAACCCCACCCCCTTCTGTTTTTCCACTAAATTCATTTGCTTATAATAAACCCAGGTTATTTATTTCTCATACATGGCAGCAGGCACACGGGTACCAATGGGGCACTTTTCTCTTTGTCTCTTCCTCTCAATCCTCTTACCCCACGAGGTAAAGCTCAGTGGAGAAGCTGGAAGCACATCTGTTACAAAACACTCCTTCTCCTGTACTGGGGAGTGAACCAGTTTGATGAGTGGATGCAGAGCACCCAAGTGCACAAGGTACCTTTGCAATAGCAGGAGTTGGAGTCAGCCCCAGCAGAATGCCAAGGAAAATGTGACTTCACTGCTTCCAGTTCTGTCTAATATCCGTACCTTGACTGATGGGAGCAGAGTAGTGAGGGAAGGAAATAGGCTTTCTTATCCATTCCCATTATCATGCATGATTTGCATCCATGCTGTTGCTAAAGCACTCAAAGTATGCATCAAAGTTCCAGGAACATGATAAGGAAATTCTAAGAAGAATCAAATTTCTATACTCTGGAAAAATAGTGTACAGATCTGATGCACTTCCTGCTGTCACTGAGCAACATAAGCTTTTCTCCACCAGTGAAAAGCTCCACATCTCCCCCAAAGAGGTATTTTGTAGTCTCTCACTGGAAGATTATGTTTGTTCTGGATTTTATGGCCATAACTCCCATTGCCATAATTCCCATTTGATAAGATTGATTAGTGATGTAATACAATTTTTGAAAATCACCTTTCACACAATTCTTAAAACTTCTAATCATCATCTGAGAGAGTTATTAGGACAGAAAAGACTGGTTTTTGTTAATAGTTACTGTTCTGTCCAAAGCTAATCAATACTGTGTAATGACAACCAACTAATTCAATATTGTGAGGAACATTTCTTCCTCTAATCATCAGATATTTGAACGAATTTTTACTTTATGTGAATTTTATCTATGAAAGTGATAATAAGAGCTAGAAATACTTTTTCTCCTTTTCCCATCCACACTTCTTTTCCCTGCATACGCCATCCAGTTTTTTGGGGGGTTTATTGCATCCATAACATGTAACATTGCGTATTTTCTGAAAATTTAGATCTTTCAGAGAATTGAAATTAATTTTACATTAATATATGTCAGTATATTTTCTTGAACAAAGTCATTATAAAAGGATCTGTTCTTAAGTCTGGACACAGACTTCAGTTAAATTTAAGGGCACAATAAATAGAATTCCTAAGTAATATTGTACACATTCTCTGAGGGAGATAATGGTTTAAGAAAAAACAATAAACCTAGACACGGGGACATTCATAGGACACTACCACAAGATATAGTCATTCTTAAGTTAGATAACATTCCTTCATTCCTTTTGAGGACTGCAAGCATATATCTTTTTCATATCTTGTCCTTTCATTGCTGATTGTGTAAAAGTCATCTACCTGAGATTTGAAGCAATTAAGTGAATGGCTGAGCAAGAGGATGGGTGAAGAAGTATAGCCAGAACACCTAACCATATGTCTCAGAGATAATATGACAGTACTAAATCTGAGAAAACAGAATTAATCATATCTTCTGACATAATTAATTACAATTATCCTACTGTTCTTGTAAGTAAAAAGAATACTGTTCCCTGAAGTCTGCTCTTGAAGTTCACTGAGTGATTTGTCCAAGGATGTACAAAATGGTTCAGATCTCCAAGAACAGCATCAAATCTGTCCTATAATAGCTCTTTCAGTGACATAAATGATGGAAGGTTTATCCTGTGTTTTTCCTTCTGTCCCATGCAGCATCACTGCATGTCCTGGAGTGCTTATCCCAGTGTATGCAGTTAATACATAACCTTGCCCTTAGTCAGCTGTATAATTGGCTCTGAAAAGATGTGCTGTCAAGATTATTTGGTTTTACTCCAATTCCTCCTAGAGTCATGTTAGGCAGCCTCATTGCTTTTTAGGTAGGGCTGGTGGGGAGGACCAGGCCTGAGCACGTTTTGTCTCAAACATTCTGACTGTTAAAACAGGAAAGGAAGGGTCCCACAGACGTGGGGCAGCGTGTTCTGAGCCAATGCCCTGCTCTGCCTTGGGACTCATGGTCAGTCTCCCCCAGCTCACTCCCCAGAGGGCTGAAAGGGGCTGTGCATGTGCAAAATGGCACAAAAAATCTAGTTTACATAAAGGGGCTGCAGCAGATTAACTATAAAAGGAAGGGGATTGGGCCCCCTTGCTCTCTTTTTCCTCTCCTTCTCTTTTGCTCCGGACCATCCTCACAGCAGGACCAATGTGGGATCTAAGGATTGGTGACATTCTTTGTTTTCTCTCCCCTCTTGCTTTGCCTGGGCAAAGAACAGCTGTCATTATCCTGTCCCATGCTCTGTTTGTTGTGGGAGTGGGGAACTCGTGAGCCAGCACCTTTCTGTGGTGGTGTTGTGGCCTGTCAGGCAGCACACCTTTGGTTGTGTGCTGGGGGTTGTGTGCCAGCACCTTTGAGCAGTTTGTTGTGGGAGGGGAGAACTTAGTGAAGTGTACTGCACAAAATTAAGGACTTGTTGGCCACCACTCTTGTGGAAGTGTATTGTAACAATTTAAGGGCTTGTTGGCCACCACCTTTTGAGCCTAAACAGTGGGTTGGTTGCCACAGATAAAGCAACAATACAATAAAACATGAGAGTTCCCTGACACATGTCCGCTGTCTTTGTTCAGCCTGATGAGAATTTACAGCAAACCTTGTGCCCCAGAGCGATGGGTACAACTGGGAAAGAGCCTCACCTCTGACTGGGCATCATGTTTTATCACAGCAGCAGGGATTCTGGCTCTGGGCTTACTCAGATATTGTAAAAGACTGCAATTTTAAGTCATGTTGGTAATTTCTGTAAAATACAGATTTTAAATACTACTTTAAAATCCATGTACACAAAGATGAAGAGAGTACACCATCTTTGTCTGCACTTCACTTTTTTACAACACATAGAAGCTTGGAATGTAAATAATTTTGCATTGCAAGAACTGAAAAACCCAATTTACTATTTAAATACTAATAACTGATTTGGACCCATCATGCACACAGTGTAGCAAATGCATTAATCGCTGTATTTTTACTTAAAACTATTCCTAACCATATAATGTCTTTAACAGAGTTTGGAACATCTGCATTTACATATGGTGAGAAATCTTTATTTTATATAGGCAATTATCATACCAATAGTTTTTTTGTTTCAAAGTTAATTCCAACATTAATACTTTTATTGTTGTACATTCTGGTTCTTGGACTCCTTTGTTTCTAGTAGGCCGAGGACCTGAACTGGAAGGTTTCTTTATTATTTATTTCTTTCTTCTCTTTTTTTTTTTTTTTAGCACATGCTAGGTGCCTTTTAATCTGTCCAAACACCAAGGAAAATTATTAGAACAAAAGCAAAACCTTAAATTAAATTGCTCATGATGTTTTCTGATGTTTCCTTTCTAGTTTTCGATTCCCAAGATGCCAGTGCAGTGATTGGGAAGCTCACAGTGACAGTGGAGGCTCTCCAAGCCCTGCGTTCGGTCTGTGAGGAATGCAGGAGTGAGTAGGAGTGGGAAAGGGATGTTTGCCTACAGAAGTTCCTGCTCCATAAAGACAGGCTTGATGGTGCCTCAAAGATGAGATCTGTTCTTAAGTCTGGACACAGACTTCAGTTAAATTTAAGGGCACAATAAATAGAATTCCTAAGTAATATTGTACACATTCTCTGAGGGAGATAATGGTTTAAGGAAAAACAATAAACCTGGACACAGGGACATTCATAGGACACTACCACAAGATATAGTCATTCTCAAGTTAGATAACATTCCTTCATTCCTTTTGAGGACTGCAAGCATATATCTTTTTCATCTCTTGACCTTTCATTGCTGATTGTGTAAAAGTCATCTACCTGAGATTTGAAGCAGTTAAGTGAATGGCTGAGCAAGAGGATGGGTGAAGAAGTACAGCCAAAACACCTAACAATATGTCTCAGAGATAATATGACAGTACTAAAACTGAGAAAACAGAATTAATCATATCTTCTGACATAATTACAGTCATTCTTACAGTATATTTAATATATCATTGATATGAAAAGGATGCTTGATGTGTAGGTGTACAATTTTGTATGCTTTTCAGACTGTTTTCTTATTTTTAAGGTCCTTGCTGAATCGTACTTCAAGCTTTCAACAGTTGATAGTTTCAAGGTCTAACTCAGTCCTGGCAGTTTGTTTTCAAACCAAACCTGCTCATAAATGATGGGATACCAGCTGGGGGTACTTTGTCTAAGGAAATAAGTGGTTGTGAACCTACAAACAGAAATGCTTGTAGATTCTTGCTCAGAGTAGTTCATCCCAGTACTCTCTCAGGACAGGGTCACTGGCAGCACCTCAGGCAGTCAGCAGGATTAGCTGCTGTGTCAGACCGTGGTGCTCAGGGCTGTGTCCAGGGTGGTTGGAAACCTCCCAAGCTGGAGCTCCTCTGAGCACCCTGTTCCAATGCCTGACTGTCCTCAAGTGAGAAAAAGTAGATGCATTTCTAAACATTACTTCCATCCAAATCGAAGCCAGAGCTGGATCTAAGCACGTGGAGCAGTTTTTGCACTTCATGTACCATCTAATAATTTAATTTTTTTTTTAAATTCTAGAGATGGCATAAGTATGACCATGTTTGTCATTTGTTTCAGCCATTTAACATTTTGCACAAAACCAAAAATAACAAAGCATTTTAGTGTTGATTTTCATGGTTTGCAGTATGCCATCAAATTACCATCCAGTTTTATGAAGCAGTTGATAAAAAATAGGTGTTATTGTTAACAATGTGGTTTGCTCAGATAATTTTTCTGTATATTTCAGTGGTAAACAATTTGTTATGGTTTATTCCTGGGTTGTTTGGGTTTTTTTATATTAGATTATTTTAAGACTAAGAAAACAAACCAATAAATCAAACAGATCAGTCTTACACTGAAATTATCTTCATAACCTTCATTCATGAATTCTTCGCACATTTTAGATTTTCAAAGACTTTCCCTGAGCTGTGAGAAACAGGGATATAAATCTGTAACCTCTGTCCACACCTGTTCTATGTATCAAAATATATCTTACTTCAGGGGTCCAGCATCAATAGCTGCAAGACAGGTCTTGCACATGATCTAGCAATGATTTGTTTAACATTTTTGTGGCTTTGGAAAATAACCTATTTTCTATTTAGACAAACTGTCATTCTTGTTGAATGCAAAACTATTTCCTTATGTATTAAAGTCACAAGAACTTGAAAAAATGTTGGGAAAATGTGGTCCTTCTACTACAAAAAACCTCAAAGTGAACTTTCTTTTGCTTGAAAGGCTGTTATCAACCAGTAGTTATTCTGATTACTGACTCATAAAGTATAAACAGCTGCACTTGCTGACAGCCTTTGACATCAGTTATAATAAACAACAGAAAATGTTTTACCTTATGTGTAGGGCAGTTTTCCCAGAGAAATGAAAGGAGACACCAATCAGCATCTGACTCCAAACACACAGTACACGAACAGTAAATAAAAATCAGCAAACTTAATAAAAGAACTTCAGAAAATCTTTACGGAAAATCTTCCTACATTTTGAAAACACTCCTTAGTGTTTCCTCTGCAATAAGCATTGTAGTACCCCAAAATCAGACCCATTTGGAAACTTGCCAATAGGTTGGTAATGTCAGTGGTATAATTTACATCCTGGATGAAATACACAGAAATGGGTCTATTTATAAAACAGTATCAGATGTGGATCATGCATATGAACTCATTTTCCCCCAACAATTAGACGTGTAGGCTGCTGCCCTTGTTTTCTCATTTGTCAAAACAGGGGTACAGGGCCTTTGTGCAGCAGTCAAGGGTGAACCACAAGGACGACTTTTTTTTTATTATTAATCTCACCCAGGCCTGCTAAACTATAGAAATGTTGCTAATGATTTTAACAGAATTACAGAAACATCTTCAGCATTTGCGAATTTCTTTTACACAGTACCCTTAATAAACAGAATATGTACCAGTCACAAACTCTCAAATGCATGCTGTAGGTACTGAGCATGAAATTTAGGTTTTTGC